CATTTCTTTGTTTGGGACTCTTCGTGTGCCCTTCTTTGACTGACTTTGTGTTTCTTTCTGTACGCGCTGGTCGGAATGCTACACCGCCTTGCTGCTTCGGGCTGACGCCCCTCAGCCCCCGCTGGTCCGTGTTTCATCTGTTTGTTTGTCCGTCTATTTATCCACCTACCTATTTGTCTTCTTGTTAGTCTATCTATCTCTCTATTTGTTTGCTGTCTGTCTGTCAGTCAATCTATCTATCTACCTCTGTCTGTCTGTAGTTAGTCTTAGAAGTAAATCTGAGAACGATTCCGGGTGAAAAGAAGAGGGTCGCGCCAGACCTGGCTCCTGAAAGATAGCAAATCCTTGCGGCCGTATACCGGGCCCCCTGTTTTTGTTCACAGACACATTCACATCAAGACAGATGCCTCCATTGTCTCGCTTATTTCTCAAAGGCGTGACAGCGTGAAAGCCTTGTCGATTGAATTGCGGGGGTGTTTGTTGTTTGGCGGGGGCAAATCTTCATGCCCATGTCAGAGACTACAAATTGCTGCGGAAGCTCATGTGGGCATGCTGGTGCGATCAACCTGCCTATTCATCTCTGTTTGTCTGTCTGTATGTGCCCGTCAGTCCATCTATTTATTGAGCTGTCTACTTATCGGGTTATGTACCTATCTACCTATCTACCTGTCTATGTATCGGTTGATCGTGCCTCCGTCATTCTATCTATCCATGTATCAATGTATGCATCTATCTACCTATATCTATCTGCCTATATTTATCTACCTATATCTATCTACCTGGATCTATCGACCTATATTTGTCCGTACCCATGTCTATATCTTCATCTATATCTATGTCTCCCTGCCTTTGTCTAGTTTGTCCTAGTGCAACCGAATCTGTTCTAATCTAACCTTTCACCTGTCTAATCTATCTATCTATCTATCTACCTACCTTTCTATCTACCTTTCTATCTACCTTTCTGTCGTTTGTGTGTCTGCGTGTCTCTGTGTTTGCGTGGCTGTGTGTCTGCGTGTTTGTCGATCTATCTCTCTATGTCTCTCTCTATCTCTCTGTCCACCTGCCCGCCGGTCTGCCGGCCTGCCTGGCCTGTCTGCCTGCCTGCCTGCCTGCCTGCCCGCCTGCCCACTCTCATGTTTGTAAGTCTACGTCTTGGCTTCACGCGTGCGCGGTGTGTGTGTGTGTGTGTGTGTGTTTGCGTGGGTATGTCTCAACATTAAATACCCCTCCAGGTGGTTGATGCCCGAAACACCCGTGTCTTTGTGTTTGGTTGATCGGGCTGGAGCGTGCTCATCGTCCACGCGGCTGTCATTGCCACTTCTGATACCAGATGCATTCGCAACGGCAACGCAATTCTGATCGAGAATGTTGAGGAGGCAGGCGTAGCTTTTCATGAAAGCTTGCTGCTGCGCATCGAGTTGCTTTAGCCTTTAGCTATGTGGGGCCGGCTCCAGGAATTGTTTCTTTCTTTTTCAATTCCAAACACCAGTTCTTCACTGCGATGGCCCTGCCCGCGGACATAGTTTGATTCCCCACAGGTCCCAACCCTGCACATTCCCATGATCTCGTCCACATGTTTGCGGCTAGATTCTTTTTGGTTTTATTTGGACCTGGTCCAGGTTCGCTGGATTGTCAGGGTGTTCAGCCATTCTTTGTTACTTGGCAACCGCTGTGTCGTTCGTGTCACGGCAGGTTCTTGATCCAGCTCTTGAGCCTGTGCTCACCAAAGCACTGTTCAAGCGAGGAGGGCCTTTCCTGCCTGATTGACATAGGTTATGCGGGATCCTTGTGCGAGGGGTCCTCGTGCACCGTAGCAAGCCAGGCAGCTTTTGTTGCGCTTGGGAACCGAAGACGTTCCATACGACGAGAACTTTGCGAGAACCTGAGTTATTAGCAGCAGCGATTGTGTTTAACATGTCCAAGAACCGAGGGCTTCTACGTGACGACAAAGATGGCAAATCCTCACTACTTGCCAGAGGTGTGCATCAAGGCGCAACAAGCAAAATTCTTGAATAAGTCAATCATGCTGATCCCTCAGTGCCGGCTGGCAAAGGTCACCGTGATCAACTTCACTGTCACTTTGCTTGGCTTGGAGGACAGCTGCGTAAAGCTGTTTGTGCATGCGCCTTCGTGTTTCCGAGTTTCGTGCCGAAGTTGGAAGGAACAACTGGTTGCTGAAGTGGTGGGAAACGAGCGACCTGACTTGGCGTCGCTTCGGCCAGTTTGCATAATATTTTCATTGGTAGCATTTGCAGCCATGCCAGTCAGCAGCGCCAAGAGTTGGTGGTCCAGATCGCAGCTGACAAGAAGACACAGGTGGGCTTCCTTGGGCCTGCAGCAGGGCGTATTTTTGAGCTCTTCAATAGCTTGCCCTCGCATCATTTTCGGAAGCATGAAATGTTGACTGTACTCAAGGGGTTACCTTGAAACCCTACAAACCATACAAAGAGATCCAAAGGGAAGCCCTTAGCAACCTCCTCGTCACACAAGGCCACGTGGCACCCCTCCGGCCAACGAACAAATGCTTTTGGCAACAAAGCAGTTGCAAGATGTACAGCTTTGGCTGCTCATGTTTGAGTCAGATGTTAGCTGTTGCATCATATTTTTGGCGGCATTGTGTACTGGTGCATGGGCCTTGTGCTTTTGTCTCCGCTACAGGATGACTTGGAGCAACTCATTCTGAAGCTTCTGGCCGAGGAGAGGAAAACATGCTAGGGAAGCAACGCATCGAATCATGGCGCATTGCGCAGCGGTGTCGCTTGGGAATGTTCAATCAGGCAGGTGGTGACGTCCTCAAGGACGACACGCTGATTGTCACGCTGGACCAGTTTGGCGCTGAGAGAAGCACATGTGAGCATGGCAAAGTCAAGCTTCAAGCTTGTTTTGCTGCGTGGTCATTAAGTAGCCAATCAGGTCAAAAAAGACTGGCACAGAATGCCAAGAGCGAATGCAAGTAGCTGACAAGGCTCAGCACGAAATGAGTGAAGAGGTTGCAGCCACAGGATGCACACTGATTTGTCCTGGACACGGGAACATGTCAGTTGTTCCTGCATCTCACTCACCGGACGCGCGATATGTCTTCCTTCATTAAAACAAAATGGTCAAAGGACTGGCGCATTCCCAGGTCTGCATTTTCACAGAAGATTGCAGGCTTCTGTTTGTGCAATGTTTGCGTGCGCACACACACACACACAGACGGCTGTTTGGCAAGTGCCTTGGAGCAGTCGCAACAGTTGCAGCATTCAAAGGTACTGTATCCTTCGCATTCTTTTTCGCAAGTCCTGAAACACAGTGATATATGTGCTGACTCGCATAAAAGAAGGAAACCCTGTCCTACGTACCGAAGTTGCGCTGCAAAGGTGATACACTGACAGCACTTGCTGCGATGCAACGACAGAAATTGCGAGCGGCCCATTTTGCTTCGAATAGATTCCTGGGCTGCGGTATTGATGTGGAACCATTTCCCAACAATGCTGAGTGTCTTGTGGCGCTATTTGCCGGTGTTTCATGCAACTGCTGGCGTATTGAGCGCGTAATGGTGTGTGTGTGTGTGTCTCCATCACCTTTCGGGTTTGAGATAAGCCAGCTTGGAATGGAGGATGTGGGCATATGAGATGAGTGTTGTAAATGACCTGATTCCAGTAGAGCCGGCGGAAGTTTCTAAAATATTAGCTGGTTTTTATTTTCCCCTTTTTCTCTCTCTTTCTGTTTCTCCATATTTTTCTCCTTCTCTCTCCCTTTCTTTATTCTCTTTATTTCGTTCTATCTAGCCATCTATTTATCTATCTCTAGCTATATCTAAATCTCTATCTATATCCACATATCGATATCTATTTCTACACCTATCTCTGTTTTATCCATATCTGCGTACTTCTATCTATCTATAGCTCTCTACATCTATCTATATCTATCTGTTTCTATCTACTTCTATCTACTTCTATCTACTTCTATCTACTTCTATCTACTTCTATCTACTTCTATCTACTTCTATCTACTTCTTTTTACTTATATCTATATGTATCTATATCTATGTACTTCTATCTACTTCTATCTCTATCTACCTATATCTCTCCACATCTATCTATATTTATCTACTTCTATCTACTATCTACCTACATCTATCTACATTTGTTGTGTATGTTCATCTATGTCCATCTATATCTATCTATATCGAGCTATCTCTATCTATATCTAGCTATCTCTATCTGTGTCTATACCTATATTTTTATCTATATCTATATCTATCGATCTAAAGCTGTCCATCTGTATCTATCCACATCTATCCATATCTATCCGTATCTAAATCTATTTGTATCTATATTTGTGTCTATCTTTCTGTCTGTCTGTCTGTCTGTCTTTCTGTCTGTCTGTCTGTCTAGCTATCTATCTATCTGTCTATCTATCTATGCGTCTCTATCTATCTATCTCTGCCCATCCATCTGATTGTCGGTCTGTTTGTCTGCCTGTGTATCTCTCCATCTCTACCTATCTATCTATTTGTCTGTCTATGTAGTAGCGATTTGTACGTATGTTTATCTATCTAACTGTCTGTATCTCTCTATTTCCCTATTTTTCTATTTGTCTCTCTACCTAGCTATTTGTCTATCCTCATCTAACTATCTCCCTCCTCTACCCTCCTCTATCCTCATCCATCTATCCATCTTGTTATCTATCTAGCAATCTATCTATCCATTTATCCATCTACCTATCCGTCTATTTATTTCCTTTGCTCTCTATCTGTCTATCTATCTATCTATCTTGCTATTTATCTATCTTGCTATCTATCTATCTTGCAATCTATCTATTTTACTATCTATCCATCCATCCATCCATCTATCTATGTATCTACCTACCTATCTATCTAGATCTAGCGATTTATCGCTCGATATTATGTCTATCTGTCCAGTATCCTTCATTGAGTCTATTTATTTGCAGTGCTCTGAGACTGCGTCCCCTGTTTCTACCTGACCTTGCGAAAGTGCTGCGTCTGCAGCGAAATC